ATGCGAGCATCATTTGTGGGCAACGCTATAGCTTCCACCTACTTCGAAACATAGACTACAACAACCAAAATAAAACAGTTAGAAAACGAGGAAGGGAAAGGTCCCATAAAATCTATTCCCCACACGTCAAACAATTCTACTTCTAGGATATTATTTAGAGGCATGACATTTCTCCTAGATATGTTCCCAACCTGTTGACATTCATCACAACTCATAACAAAACTAAAAGCATCTTTAAAAAGAGTGGGCCAAAAAAATCCTGATTGAAGAACTTTAGCGGCGGTCTTTGTCGAACCAAAATGGCCACCAATTTCCATTGAATGACAATGACAAGAATATTCGTCATCTCTTCCTCTGACACATATCTTCTTATCATTTGATCGGCGCAATACTTGTACAAAAACAGATCCTCCCAAAAGTAGTACTTTAAATCTGAAAAAAATTTCTTTTGTCCTTGGGAGTTCATTCCAGGGGTCATAACTTTCCACGCCAAATGGCTGGCAATATCTGCAAACCACAGCCCTTCTTGAATAGCAAACAATTGCTCATCTGGGAAGTATTCGTTGATTGGCTTATCTTCCTCTCGAACTTCTTCATTGGACTCTAATCGAGACAGATGATCAGCTACTTGATTTTCCGTTCCTTTCTTGTGCTTAATTTCCAAGTCGAATTCCTATAAGAGCAATACCCATCGCAATAATCTTGGCTTGGAATCCCATTTTGCTAGGAGGTACTTCAATGTAGCATGGTTAGTGTACACAATAACCTTGGTACCTAGCAAATAGGAATGAAATTTATCAATAGAGAATACCACTACTAAAAATTCTTTTTCAGTAGTGGCATAATTTAACTATGGTCCCGTTAAAGTCTTGCTAGCATAATAAATCACATGCAAAATCTTACCTTTTCGTTCTCCTAAAACAGCCCCTATAGCGTAATCACTTGCATCACACAAGTTCAAAATGTAGTTCCTAATCGGGCGCAACAATTATAGGAGCAGAGATTAATTTTTCTTTTAAACACTTAAATGCATTTAAACATTCTTGACTAAAATTAAAAGAAACATCCTTAGCTAATAAATCATAGAGTGGTTTAAAGATTTTAGAGAAATCCTGTATGAATCTCCTATAAAACCCGCATGTCCAAGGAAACTTCTGACAGCCTTCACTGAATTGGGAGGTGGTAGTTTCTCAATGACTTCAATCTTCGCTCGATCCACCTCAATTCCATTCGCAGATATTCGATGACCTAACACAATCCCATCTCGTACCATAAAATGGCATTTTTTCCAATTTAACATCAGGTTAGTGTCAACACATCTCTGCAAAACATTTGATAGGTTAGTCAAACAATCATCAAAAGAATCACCAAAAACAGAAAAATCGTCCATGAAAACTTCAATGGACTTCTCAACCATATCAGAGAAAATTGAAATCATGCAACGTTGAAAAGTTGCAGGAGCATTGCACAAGCCAAAAGACATTCTTCGGTAGGCGAATGTTCCGTATGGGCACGTGAAAGTCATTTTCTCTTGATCTTCTGGCGCTATAGCAATTTGATTATAGCCTAAATATCCGTCTAGGAAACAATAGAACTCATGGCCAGCTAACTTCTCTAACATTTGATCGATGAATGACAATGGAAAATGGTCTTTGTGAGTCGTGGAATTTAGTTTGCGATAGTCGATACATACTCTCCATCCCGTGACTGTTTGTGTTGGAATTAGCTCGTTGTTATCTTACGGACCACTATCATTCCTCCCTTCTTTGGCACCACTTGGAATGGACTTACCCATGCACTATCCAAAATTGGATATATAATTCCTACAACTAACAGCTTCAATACCTCCTTATTGACACTTCTTGCATTGATGGGTTCAATCTTCTTTGTGGTTAGATGGTACGCTTATAGCTCTCCTCCATTAGGATCTTGTGTGTGCAAATTGAGGGACTTATACCCTTTATATCCGCAATTGTCCATCCAATGCCCTTCTTGTATTTCCTCAATATGCGCAGCAATTTTTCTTCCTCTACAACATTCAAAGAAGCATTAATAATGACTGGAAAAAAATTATCCTCTTCTAAGAATGCATACCTTAAATGAGATGGTAGTTGCTTGAGCTCAAGTGTAGGTGGCTTCTTGATTGGCGAAGTGGACTAAGATACCATGGCTCCAACTTCTCTGATTGTTTTAACTTCAGGATGAACTAAGGGTGGTAGAGCATTTAAGTACCTTAGGGTCTGCTTGAGAGTTTTATGGTAGCGGTTATGAGGGTAAACCATCGTAGCGGTTTATAGGGCAAACCACCGTAGCGGTTTTGAGGGGTTTTTAGTAGCAGATTTTAAAACACCCAACCTGTGCTTGGAAGTTTATTTTCCAACAGGTCTGATAGTTTTTAAAATGATAAATTTACATATATGCCCATAAAAATACCCCAACTTCAATAAGTACTTGGGAGTTTTTTTTTCAATTACCAATACTTAGTATCAAAGTTCCTTCCAAGTTTAATTTATTTGTAAGTTCTTTCATTGGATATTATTTAATTTATTTGTATGTTCTCACTAAAATATGTAATTTAGTTGATTACATTAGTTATGCTGGCACTATTAGCATACTTGGTAATTTGACTTCCACTCAATAACTAGATTTGCTGAAAATATATGCAAAAGAAGACAAATTGAGCTTCCCACATTACCAATGAGTTCGGGTTTTCCATTGAATAACCCAATTCATATCCAAGAACATCAAACTCTAAGAAACCATTTTAACTCAAAAGTGAAATGGAACATGTCCAAACTTGACAAAAATATCTACTTTGCAGCAACAACAAGGGCAGATCTAGCTTTTGTAAAAGTAGAAATGAGAGATCCAAGCTGTAGCCTGTCATTACATCCAAAACTCAATCTATACCTGCAAATTGTATGGATCATATAATTAATGAAAAAGTCATTACATGTTCCAACTACCGTCAAATTTTTTTGTTGCAAATTAGAGTATATCACAGAATACTAGTGGAAAGGGGTTTTTTTGGGATAAAATTTTTAAATCAACCAAAACACCCCAATTTGGGGTGTTTTATAAACCCCTCAAAAATACACTACACTGGTTTTGGAGGGTTTTTAAACCAGTCAAAACCAGTCTATAAAAAATCTGGTAAGTAATGGTTTTTAAACACCTCAAAACCAGTGAAAAAAAAAAAAAAAAAAACTCCCAAGCAGACCCTTAAACACACTCTTATCTCTTCACTATCAACTTCACCCTCATGATCTCTAGAATTCATCAAGCAATTCCCTAACGGGGAAATGGGGTAGCTTTCTTCAAAAGTCTGCTCCACTATGTTGTCGAGGACATTAATCTTAAAACATGTGCTAATTCAGATGGACGCTTCATGGCGTCAAAAACATCAAACTTTACTTGCTCATCTTCTACCTTTAAGAGATTAATTTCCCTTGATGGACATCTATCAATGTGCTACCCGTGGCTAGAAAAGGTCGTCCTAAAATTAAAGGTATTCCCCTATCTTCCTCCATGTCTAACACTATGAAATCTACTAGGAAAATCAGTTTGTCTACCTTAATCAAGACGTCTTCTACCACCCCCCTAGGATATGTTATTGATCGATCAGCTAATTGGAGAGACACGGTGGTTGGCTTCACTTCTCCTAATCCAAGTTTCCTGTAAATAGAAAACGACATTAAATTTATACTTGCCCATAAATCACATAAAACCTTATCAAAATAACAACTACCAATAATACAAGGGATAGTAAAACTCCCTGGATCTCGTAGTTTAGGTGGTAGTTTCTTTTGAATCAGCGCACTGCGTTCCTTCGTTAACATGACTTTCTCGTGTTCCTCGAATTTTCTCTTGTGTGTGAGGATCTCCTTCAGAAACTTTGCATATTTTGGCATTTGTTCTAACACATCAACAAAAGGAATATTAATATGCAAATTTTGAAACATATCAATAAACTTACCGAATTGCTTATCAATCTTCTGATTCTTCAAACGTTGTGGGTACGGAAGGTTTGCATGACTAGAAGAAAGTTTCTGCTCAGATTCACACTCGCCGCGACCAGCAGATTCATCACCGCGGCGATGAGTTGGAAATTCTAATGATTCGGGAGCTGCTTCACGATCGCTGCGACCACTAGTATAATCGCCGCGGTGATCGTCCTTCATGCCGACGATCTTCTCCATATTTTCACGCTCGCCGCGACGATAACTTTCCTCGCTGCAGCAATAGTTCTTCTGCTCTTCCTTCAAATCTTTCTCTTGTTCTTGCTTCTGTTTTTCATCCTCTAAATTTTCCAAAGTTCTTCCACTCCTCAAGTGATTGCATGCGCTTGTTCTTTAGGATTCTTCTCTGTATCGCTGGGCAAAACTCCTTGAACTCTTCCCACTAATATGTTGTGAATTTGCCCAATTTGAGCCTCAAGGTTTCTAATAGAAGCTGATCGATTTTGGGCAAGGATTTCAGTTTTCTCAAACCTCTTGCTTGTCTCTTCAATGAACTTGGTAAGCACATTCTCCAAGTTAGATTTTGGCTCTTGAGTTTGAAAAACAGGAGGTTGTTTATGCTCATTGTTGTTGCTCCATGAGAAGTTCGGGTGTTTCCTCCATGTCGGATTATATGTGTTGGAATATGGATTCCTTTGGCCTCTTTGGAAATTATTGACGTAATTAGCTTGTTCAAGCTAAGCCAATGGGTTCCCTTCTTGACTTGCATTTATCTTTAATACATTACCTAATTGCTTTTGAATGTTTGAAAGTTGAGCAGCCAATGCGGTGTAACCGTCAACTTTGTGCACTCCCGCTGATTTCCTTATTGAAGTTCTCTTTGAAGTCCGAATATAGTTATTGTTCGCCATCACTTCAATCAGATTGTATGCTTCCTCTGGTGTTTTATTGTTCAAGGCTCGTCCACTTGCAGCATCTATCATGGCTTGAATAGTTGGCTGCAACCCTTAGTAGAACATTTGCACTTGTGACAAAATTGGTAAACCATGGTGAGGGAACCTCCGTAAGAGATGCTCATACCTTTCCCATGCTTCATACAATGACTCCAAGTTTTGTTGGTAAAAATTGATAATCTCACTCCTCAGCTTGGCAGACTTGGCAGGTGGAAAATATTTAGTGAGGAACGTTTGAGCTAACCCATTCCATGTCGTGATGCTCCCAGATGGCAGAGAAATCAACCAAGCCTTAGCTTTATCCCAAAGAGAGAATGGGAAAAGCCTCAGCCTAATTGCATCATCGGATACTCCATTATACCTGACTGTGTCGCAAAACTCAAGAAACGTTGGGATAATCATTAGGTAACCCAGTGAATTGGACTGACTGCTGAATCATTTGAATAATTGTTGGCTTGATCTCAAAATTATTCCCTTGAATTGGTGGTCTCCTGATGCTAGAATAGCACCCATCAACAATAGGACTAGAATAGTCCTTCAATGCTCTTCAAACCACTACCGCTCTACCAATTGCATTGCCTCCTATGATATCCTAATCCTCATTCTCTTGATTTTCCACTTCCTATCATTCACAGTAGACTTAATCCCTGGAAAATTGACAGGCTATTCGCAAGTGTACGAAATTGCACAAGTAATAAAGCTCAAGTAAACAAGTGTCCAATCCCAAGAGAACTACCTACCAAGTACCAAACTAGTCTATTTTATTGTTATTTGATGAAACAAAATTTTGAGAATGATTTTAATGAAAAAGAAAACAAACTAAAAACTAAACAAAAGCAGAATTTTATTAATTCTTTGGTATAAAGATCAATATGACTAAACCTAAGGCATAAATTTCTCACCAATTTAATCCTATGCATTGACAATTATTACTAACCTGATTAAGCTTATTCTAAAGGCCAAACTCCCTAATAATCCACTAACTTTCTCTCAAAAAATTAGCGAATTAACCCTTAAGCAACAACCCAAAATATCTCTAAGTTGAATTTAGAAGCTAAGAGATCATTAAGTTCTATGGAATTTACCATAGCCTCACAGATCGCGATAATCTATCTCTAGTGTTCGCTCAATCTATGGTTTTATTACCTTAGACTAATCAAGTTTTATCTCTCGATCTCAACCCAACCCATGATATCATTCAACTCTTGGATCCATAAGAATTGAAAGTGTTACACACAATAATAAAACTTAGAACTAATGCTCAATTAAAAATCAACAATAATAACGTTAACACATATTCATAAATTGGGCTACATCTTTAGCCCTAGAAAAGGGATTTAGTTCATAATTGTAGTAATAAAAACAACCATTGTATTCAATAACATTAGTTCAAGAAAGAAAGAAAAATAGAAAAACTTCTCTAATTGGCGAACGAGAACTGCAAGAATTCCGATCGCCAAAAATAGTAGTCGTCCTTTCTCCTTCTCTAATCTCCCTAAAAACTAATTAAAGACTCTTTTTTATAGTGCTAGGGTTTTGAGGTTAATTAGGAAAGAATTAAATGTCTTAAACCATTCAGATTTGGACTAGGAGAATACAATAACCCAAACAGGCCCATGATCCATCGCTGCGGTGATCGTTCTTTCTATCCCACGAGTCTAGAATATTCAGAATTTGGTGAAGTCATCAGCATGAACTTTGTAGCTCTCTGAATAAGCTTTCCAACGCTGTAATAATAATTGAATTCAGATTTCTACAGAACAAGTTATGATTTAAACATCGAAGCATGCTTATCTTGAATGATTTCCAAATTTTACGTTGTATCTTCGACGCGTCACAACTTTCTTGTTTCAACTTCGATTCTTGCACCGTTTGTTCCTACTTGCCACAAATTCTATCAACATCATTATTTTTCCTTCAAGTATCAGTTTTTAACCTGAAAATACTCAAAATACACCCATGATCCCATAAAAGGTATTTATGAAATAATTAACTCAAATTTCACAAATTAAACACATTTTTCCACAAATAATCCAATTGAATCACTAACAAAATATATACTTTCAAGCTCTTATAAAAAATCATCAAGTTTAACATGTGATTCACAGAAGATGGGTCTATGCACAACAAAATCATTAAACCTAGACTCAACAAAAGGTGTGTTAAAGATTAAGCATTTACCCAACTCCACTGGTTCAGAGGCAACAATCTTTGCCTTTTTCTTCTTTCTTTTTGGAAATTTGGAAGCCTTCTTTGATGATTTGGTCTTGAGAGGAGACTTCTTCTTTCACTTTACCCTTTCAATCAACGGCTCATCTGAAGATGGCAAGTCAGCAATGGGAGAAACCAAGGGTGATGAAGTCTTCTTGGAGGAGGATTTTGTTTGTTTAGGTTCATTGGTCTGAGTGGTCTGACTCTCCCTCGCTCTTTTCTTCGATTTTGAAGCTTGTTGAATGTTGGCAATGAAATATTTTTGGTGCTCCATCATACATAGATTAACAAATGTTAGAATTAACAAGAAGAAATTCAAGAAGAATTTGAGAGCAAAAGTGTTTGAGTGGCACACATTTGTTTGAAATGAGAGAAAAAAACGGTGTTGCGACTTTATAAAGGGGAACCCTAGAAAATTTAGGAACTTGAACAGTGTATGAACTTTAAAAATTAATGTGGGCACACGTAAGCTCAATATGAGCACACCAGAAGAAGCAAAATCAAAATGACGACCTTCAACTCAAATGCGATGACACATGACAAAAGATAATTATGAATCAAAATGAATATCATTCATGTGATGACATCCACACAGTCATGTAAGCACACTGGACAACAAGTGAATTGTCATCATATAGACTAATCAAGCTAGTACATGCATAAGAGATATCATAGAGAATGAACTTAAAAGAACTCATGTGACAACATGCTCTCTCAATGTGGCAACATTGGCACAAAAACTGCAAACTTTAAGCCCTTATTCCATTTTGAACAAAAACAAAAATAAGGCAAAAAGACATCAGGAGATCAATAAAAAATTTCACAAAATTTTAAGGATGCAAGTAATACAGATCTGAACATGTGAAAATCAAATCAATTCTCAATCTTTAACAAAGATACACAAGGAGAATCTCATCCCATGTAATTCAACAATTAAATCTTTATAACCTTAGATCATACATGAGTAAGAATGCTAAGATTCTTTATCATATCTGTGTGCTGTGTCCTCAAGGGGGGATTTATGACACATTGGTCAAATATTCAAAGAGAAATCTCCCCCTTCCCTCATGCTCTTTTTCATTTTTCTTTCTTTTAATTCTTTTGAACATAATCTCAAAAAAATTTGAATTCTATTCATAGCAACTGAAATTTAATGGGCAAATACTCCCAAGAAGTAACCAAGTGCAGCTTTCACACTTGCAAGGAGGTAACCCTCCAAATGTTATATTTTCCAAAGATATATGGGTCTTTACTGTTAGTAAACGGTCCCGTATACGCAGCGGAAACAAAAAAAATTAATATAACAGGATCATTTACATGAGCCAAGATCAAGGGTATAATTTTACAATTTTATCATAATAAGAATCTATGGAAATATTCAACATGAGTTAAGAGAAACAAACGCACGTTTGGAGGCTCCACCACGATTGTCTTTGAACTTTTTGCTACCGATCCAAGTGTAGGATCGAACCCACGTAGTCCGCACGAAGACAATCTCAAAAGAATCAAAGAGGTATTTGCTAGATCCTCTTTGGCTTCAAGATTAAGTAGAAAAGAAATCAAATTGAATTGATTTAGCCAAAGAAAGGTTTCTGCCGCGGGCGTGTAAAATGGGGGCTATGTGTTTTTGTTTTTCAAAGAAAAATCTGCATAATTTAATTAACACACTTTTCTTTTTATAGTAAAAACAATTTTCCCTAATCCCATACGGAATAGGCTTGGGCTTCAACCCAAACGCCCCATGTTGCCAAACATTCCTAATTTGATTTATTTTATTTTCCATCATTATCTCAAGTAAAATCAATTAATATATATTCAAATATATATTAACATTTAACAATAATGATAATATATTTAAATATGTGCGAACACACATTTAAACGTAATTTCACTTAAATATTGCCTTAAAAGACGAAAACGCCCTTCTTTCTTCTTGGATCTTAAATTGTCTTCTATGTGTGTGACCCATAGGCTCCTCATCATATCGGCAGTGTATAGTATCGCGATTAACACCAATTAATCGTCTCACTAATACACAGACCAAGATTGGCCTCTAGCAAGGCATCATGGCCACACGATAGATTCAGATTCAGCAAAGTAGATACCTGTCAACGATATGGTTACCGTGCAATTCGATCCTTTCATCATACGTTATCTCGATGAGACGAAGACATAGAAATAGTGTCAACCTTCGGTTGCTCTCGATATTATTTATTCAGTTTTTGGACCAATGACCTGTATTATAAATTGGATAAAGTAACAACTCAATCCCACTGTGGCCACAATTTTAGTGTCATTGCCATATACTGTATTGCGTCATGAGATAACTTTCTCCCATACCCAGGAGTGATGAATCCTCTGTCAATCTACCATAGTCTTGATACACTCCTTGATGCAGCTAATCACCACCATATTGACAGCTCTGAAAAGAACTGCGTTAGGCTAGTGTCAAACTAAACCAATCGGTGCACAAGGCGCTACGGTGATCTCAAGTCTAAAGATCACATGCACCACCATTCGTTAGAGGATTTGTTCCATAGACATTGGGGTTACCATCCATATGGAATCCTCTGGTGGGTCAGTCCAGTGAACTTGCTGCGGTGTAATCGCCTATAGCAAGCAACCATGTGTTGCACCAGGTTGTCACCAAACAACCTTGACAAGTGAGATTAGTCACTGCCTTTCGATAGGGTCGTTCAACACTATGATAGCCTTACCGTGTTATCTGTGCCCTTACTTCAGAATAATACTGGGGCTACGGACGTTTCTAGAATGGCCACCATATATGCTCATAGGGTTCTCACTATCAAGATTTGAAACACTTGATACCCTCATCACGGTTCTACCATTCTAAGGACATATATCAATACATATTGCAATAATAATGATTTACGCGATATAGATAAAATGCCTTTTATTGATTAATGAACATTATTACAGAGAGTCAATTCTACAATAATTGATTGGCTCTAGGGCATCTACTC